AGATACCATGAATAACCCCCAAGAACCCCAGAGGTTATAGGTTCTCACCTTCATCCAGGTACTGAAGCTGCTGGAAGTAAAGGGGGATCCCAGTCAACAATTCCAAATGGGACTTAAGTTTCTTCAGTGTCAAGTCATCCTGGCATCGAGGCAGTGAAAAGATCTCATTAGTTTCAGCTAGACAAAGCCGGACACTAAAGGTCTGCAGGGGCAAGGAAGGCAAAGCAATGAAGTGGTTCCTGACCAGGAAAAGTTCATGAGACACTTCTCTTAAAAAAAAAACAACCACTTGGAATCTTTATAAGAAGGAAGGCAAAGCAATGAAGTGGTTCCTGACCAGGAAAAGTTCATGAGACACTTAAAAAAAAACAACACTTGGAATCTTTATAAGGACAGTGGTCTAGATCTGGTAGTAATGCCTCCCTCTCCTGGACATTCCCCTTGTATCTGCAAAGCCCTCCATGCACAGATCTCCTTTTATCACAAGCACATTACAGCATCCAAGCAGCATAAACTGACATCACAGAACCACAGTCTGCATGTATGATGTAACAGCCTATATGAACTTACCACACTACCACAGTAAGTAATGCACCAGCATTGATTACATTACAAAGATTTTTGTTCCTGCCCCTCTTTTGATTTTCACTAGGATGACATCAACCGTAAACTTACTTGGAAGACAAGCAGTAGAGAAACAAAGTAGTAACGCTGTTAAGTACCCGAAGTTGTCCTATTTTAACGTTCCTGTTTTCTTTGTTAAAGTCTAGATCTCAATCTTCATATGTAGTCTAATGTGTAATAAAAAGAGCATATGGCTGTTTAATTTGTGTTTCCAGTTTACTACACCGGGGTCTTGTGCACTAACTCAACGTGGGTAGGCTTTACCAGGGGTGCAGGGGACCAGTTATTCTCCTCACTTTCACATCAGCTAAAATCCCGCAGAGAAGAGAGGGGAGGTCAGATATTTTTTTGCAGCAGTTGGCAGAAGTTCTAGAGCACAGGATGGAACAGCCAGTGCATGTCTGCAATGGCCAAAAGGGGGACTGCAGCAGCAGAAGATAGGGAAGACTCCTCAAATTAGAAGAAAAACCAACCAGCCAGGTGTCAGTTACTCATTTCCACTCTCTCCCCCACTCCCCAACCCTACAGAATTCATCAATGCTGGATGTCCGAGAGCAACACCACACCGAACAAACAGCCCAGAACATTCTTCCTGGCTGAAGTCTGAAGAGGGAAGGATTTAAGGTAAAGATTTGGATGCCAGTCTCACCCAGCACACACAAGTTCTCTTAATTTAAAATATATCTTGTTAAAGTTTCAGTTCTGACAGAACTATTTTAGTTGCAAAGCGCTTTTGGCATGCTCGCTTTGAGGACAAAGTGCGGGAAGAGCTACTTTGAATCTCTGGACATGTAACAGATTTTTCACTACACAGTACCATGGATTCCCCACACAACCCCAGTTTGTCAGATGGCAGCGTTTATGCTAGGGAGATGTTGCATTAACCGGAAGAATACACTCATATCCCACTGATGACAAAAGTCAGTTACCACAAGTTGGTTTATAAAACAGTCACAGGATTTATTGAGATAAATACAAATAGAAAGTTACATAGATTCTCTGTTCTGACAATGACACTTCCAGAGTGTCCCCGCTTAATTGGGTTCTAAACAACACTGTGTTCAGACACAGCCGCCACTCGGGCAGCATCCCAGCCGATGCCCAGCTTGCATCATACATGAGATACCAGCGAGCCTGAATTCTAAGCAACATGACTAACATGCTTTGGATTACAAGCGTTTGATAATTTCCTATAGCATCCAAGCAATATTGCACCCACTAACGTTATTTTCATGTTCCTTAGCTAGAAATGTTTAAAAGTGATATTCTTACTGCTGTTGTGCGAGTGGATCAACTTCCTAACTTTGCTCCATCTGGCTTTTAAAATACATATTTTTTGCATAATTTAAACAACCCAGAGAGAATTGTACGTGAACACACCGCTTTACTCATCATTGCATACAGTTGTCTAGTACAAGACGTAAAGTGCGGTCTTTAATCATGCTGAAATCATTTCTAGTTTAAAACTAAACCAAAAAACCAAACCTCGTAGAGGGCAGATCTGTTTAATAGACCTGCACGTTGTCTACAAAAAAATGCACCCCAAAACTATAATGTCCCCCATTAGTGCATGCAACCATAGAGTTTTAATAAAAGTTTTTAAGTGCTCTACTGAAATCATACCACTTCAAACAGACATGATCTCTGGAGCCAGAGAGGTATCAAAATATTGTTAAAAACAAAGAACTTTGTTTAGCCTTTTACTGACCTTTTATAGCTGATGGCTTACTGTTTACGCATATCCTAATTAAAAACTCTCAGTGAACGCTAACAAAACATGCTAAACCATATGGAAACTTGTGTTTTCCAGTGGATTATTGCAAGTAAAGCTACCTATTTAAGACTATCTGACAAAACAGAAACCTGGGTTCAGTTGATGTTCAAAGTATTTAATTTACATACAGTACATTTCAAACATACTTACATATACACACACTTAAAAAAATTTGTTCAGTGCTGAGAAATTTAATGAACTGATAATAAAAAACATAAGTAAAACCTTGTCAGAAAGGCCCTAGAAAATTTGAACTGTTAGAAAATACCAGTATAATGCCAGCATTAGAAAAAGATATCAGAACTAGAAAAAATTAACTCGTTAAGAAATTGCAATCATAAAAAGTCGGTACTGAAGAAACATTTGTTTTAAATTATAAAAAAAATTGTAAAAAATTAAATGCAGAATGTTGCAGAATTTACAGAATTTATACTGCTTGCTGTAATAGTAGTGATAGCAGTGGTGTATTTCTGCTTGCAACTTCCAAAAAGCATTTTGTGGTCTCACAAGAAAACAATCTGTTACAAATACTGTACATATAATAATACTAGTTAAACAAATGTATACAAAACTGAGCCCTCCAAAAATACAGAACTCAGCTGAGGAATCTACTTGCTGTATTGCAGACAGGCTAGATTTAAAACAAAATAGAAAAGAAAAAGTTATTCCTGTAAAAACCTTCACCCCATGTGAACTACTTACTCATATAACAGTGAAATAAGGGGAAATATTTACACAGGTCTATATCATAAAGTGTTGTGTTCACAGAGAAAGTAACTGTTACTACATGAAACCATTTCTTCAGTATTTAAGCATTAGTTTTTAAAGAGGACAAAGTTCCAACCCACAGTCTAGAAGACTTTTTTTTTTGCCCCACCCAGGCCCCACATCATCTGCAGGTTTGGGACACAATGGAAGACAGGATTCACCAAAAAGCATTAGCTTTATAGCTTTTCAAACTGGTCAGTAGCTCTCCAATTTTATTAAGAGACCTTTGTTCTACCTGTATAGTCTTTCTTTCAAAACATCTGTTCAAGTACAGAGAAGATGTCCTACTTAAGCTTGAGGATCTCAGTAACCTTCATTTGTTGTTTGCCCCAAACCTTGCCATACAGTCAATGGAAGTTATAGAGCAAACTGCTCAGCACCTTTTCCCTGTGCATTTGTTATTCAGGGTTTTCCAGAATTTAGAAGTCCTTTGTTTCTTAGGAACAAAGCAGTGGGCTGTTTGCAATTTGGTGAGTTTTTTAAATAAGGTGTGTACATAAAACAAAAACTTAACTCTGTACAAGTTCTGTAATACCCTTCTACAGATACAGCACCTGTTGCAGGAACTGAATCCCTTAAATGAAGTGAACTTTGCTTGGGCATAACGAGTAATTTTCAGTTTGGGGAACCTCACACCTGTCACTATCAAAGCCAGCAGTAACAAATCCAGACATGTTAACACCTGTAAGGGTATAGCTCAGAAATAACAAATTAATAGAAAAGTCACAATATACAAAGAATCTTGAGTTCTCTGCACTTTGAAAAATATCACATTGTATTAAGTAAAAATGCACAATGCCTTAATTCTAGCAGAGTAATTACTTTAAGATGAAATTATTTTTGAGCTTCTTTCCACTGATAGAGAATTAAGTTCTTCATTGTTTCTTGTTAAAATTCAAAACTATTCACATATATACACTTTTTTCCCCCCTGGTTTAAATGTAATACTTGAAACAATACAAAAACTACAATAAAAGTGAGGAAATACTACCTTCACATAAGTCCGCTATAATCCGGTTTTAAGATTTATAAAGCATTTTTAAGCTTATAGCAGACTACTACTGGAAATGTTTTGTTAAAAAATGAAGTATGAATTCCAATTACACTGAAACACTGAGTATGGTGTAAGACTTTACATACAATACTTAACTGCAGGCGAGATCAGAGCTAACAGCCACATTTACAAAGGAAAAAACCAAAAGGAATTACTCACGCATATCAGAAACACACAACTATAGATGAAACATGGTCATGAAATGAAGATCATAACATTTCTCACTAGACCCTTTCCAGCTCAAGTAGGTAACAAAAACCACATTTGTCCACATTATTCATAATAACCACAAACATAAAGTGAATAACCATTCTGATGGTCAGCGTGCACTGCAGAACACCACATTAGTTTTGTTTTTCAATGGCAGTATTGTTCATGTTACCCTGTTTTATGGTGGCAAAGAAGGACACATCTTGATCTCGGTCAGATTGCAGGGCTAGAATGGTCTCTTCTGCAGCTTCTAGATGAGGATTGCCAACATTTTTAAAATAAGCTAGAATAAAGGGAGGAAAAAGTCAATTTTAATCCAAGCCAAAAGAATAAACCCTAGGGCACAAGTAGTGCAGAAATACAGAGGATGCCAAAGACATCTAGGGTAGATCATCCAATTTACAGGCTCCCTAGAGAAACTACAGTATGCCAAGGAAGCCAACAGAGGAAGAGAAATATGCTGTTTCTTACTCGTCTTACTAGGTGCTTTGGTATTTCTAAGAGAAATTCTTTTTGCTAAGTCCTAAATAGAAATGTATCAACAAGTAAAAGCAAGCTCAGGAAGCTGCCACTGTACAATGCATTACAAAATACTCCCCATAACTTCATTCTGAAAAAAATAGGGAATTTCTGGCATATTCCTTTGACTAATCAGAGATCAGCTGGTTTTTGTTTTTAAGGAATTGTAATACAGGAAATTGCAGCAGCACAGAAAATTACATTCTTTCCTAGTACAACTGTTAGCTTAAGACTAAAATGACAAAGCAAATCATTTCAGAAAAAGATATAGCACTTCACCTGAAATACCCCAAAGACAACTACTTCATGAACATAAAGGTTTGAAATAGATCAAAATAATCTAATGTGATGCTTAAGAAAAGTGTAATTGCCATACGCATCATGGATACCAAAAATAACCACCTGCAGCAACAGCCAATGACTGCAGCTCTTCTTGCTATATGCAAGGACATAACTGCCCTCTAGTGGATGAAGTACGATGTGTCAGATTATCGATGCTGCTTTCAGGCCCTTCAGGGATGATGATCAAATATTCTATGACAGAAAAGCCACTACAGTATACGTTCCTCAATCTGCATTTAAATGCAGTATCCCAGATCACCATGTACAGTTCTAGTTTCAGTATAAACAAAACCAAACAGCCTTTTACCAGTTGAGTGAATTTATAAAGAACAGCACTGGCCGAGGAAAGACAGTATTCATGAGACATTAGCGCTTTCAAAAGAAAGTAATGACCACACCTTTCTCCAATAACGTCTGCCTTAGAGCCTTGGCGAGCAGAACCCTTACATTTGGCACAGGATCTGATGCAAGACTTAAAAGACTGGGGAGTAGGTGTTCAACAAACTGGTCAACAGGCATACATTCTTCTTCTACTACGGCCTACAGGATAAACACAGAGCATGAGAAAGCAAGATTTATGTTAAAAATACACTGTTTGCCATTCCTTTTCAACTTGTCCTTAATATAACCTATTAAAAAAAAATCAGTGTTTAACTCTCAACAAATACACTCTACATTGGTGAAGTAAGTACAACCTTTGAAATACTGGTACAAAAACATGCCTTAACCATTCTAAAGTTCATCTGCAGATGACCCAACAAGAGCAGAGAAGTTTTTCAAGTATATTTTAGGAAATACTACTCTCTTGCCTGTCATCACCCTTTTGCCTTTCAACATTCAATCCTTTCTCCTCACTTCCAGTGAAAGCAACTTCTGGCAACCTCTCGCAGAAGCCACCCCTCCACTACCAAAACCTTACCATGCAAACCCAAAACATGAAGTAAGCATTTTTGTTTTGGAGGGAGGCGGTAAATAGAAATAAAGAGGGAAATAGTTCCTGGCATCTAGCACCCATTGGCAGTTTGAAGAGCTCTTGTGAACTTTTATCCTAGCATGTCAAAAGTATTAGAAAATGCATCTCAGTTTAGGCCTTAAATCCTGACTTTCCTACTGGGATGCCAGAAAGCACAAGGATCGGCTATTTCAGCTGGAGGCACAGAACCAAACAAGGACCACAGCTTTGAAACTGGACAACCATGTGCTAGTACTGAGAAGAGACCAACACTACCACTGCCTTTTGTCAGCCCACAGAATCACAGAGCCTAAAGAATGACAACAAAATTCCCCAGTCCAAATTTCAGTTTTGCCCACATTGCTAAAAAGCCTCAAACTGGCTCCAAATTAACTGTAAACACAGAAAGAGAACATTCCAACCTGACAAATGAAGGCAAATGCTTGTCTTCCAACCCACTTGGAGCAGTGACGAAACCGCACTACAAGTTCATTAATGAAATTTAGTCCCAGTGCATTTGCATTGTTTGTGTAGAACTTCTGTAGTATTGCTACAACCTGCAAAGCAAAGGAAAGGGGGAAAAGCAGGGCAGGGGAGAAGAAGAGATAAGACTTAACTTGTAGCCCTTAAAGTTGAAAAAGCATCACTTCATTTCAATCCTACCAAGGGACACCAAAAACTGTATTCATTGTAATCAGCTGTGCTTGCAAAATTTATTAAGTTACTGTGCTTATTCTGGAGAAAAGAAAAGCATAAGCTTTAAAAAAGCTTTTCGTTCAGTTCAAACAAAAAACACCAAAAGAAATTAAAACCACTGTTAAAATAATGCCTCTTTCCATGGGGCTATGAAGAAAAAGAAGAAATTGAAGGAATCTTTCTACTCATTCAGGACATCTATAGGATGATGTTCATGAAGATCATAAATTAAAATCAACTTTGATGAAAGATCAGTAACTTTTTTCCCCCGTCTCCCAGAACTGGGTGATGGTCTCCCAAATCTTCTATAACCTGGTTTTCATCCAGTTGAAAATATATTTATCATTCACATAAAACCAACAGAGAAAGATATTAAAATCTGTGGAGGTTTGAAAACACAAAATATTTTATAAAGTTTTAATCTCACTTTTTTCTGTATTGTTCACCATGTTTTGATAAACATGTCTGTATTCACCCTACTTGTCTGAAAGCAAGCAGAGTGGTTTCAGGTATCCCTCTCAAGGATCATTTTCCTCCTCTCCTGCCAGGAAGTGAACTAAATCCCCTACCAGTTTGAAGGAGATCCACCGAACTTCTGAAACTTTATCGGAGCAGAGAGTTAGTGCAATATGTCTTAAGTAGTCATAGACATCATTGGGATTGTAGAGTTCCAGTATCAGGATCAGCTGCCTGGAACACAAAGAAAGTGATTAACTCTAGCAAGTGCAACGTTAACTTGCTCGCATTACACCATCTGTTAAACGTAGGGAAGGATCATTTGGAGCCTCGAAAACACCATGGTTATTACAAAGCACTTGAACAGTTTGCTCTTTTCTTTCCTTAACATGTGCGCATGCTTTTATAAAAGAGGTGCGCGCTTTAATCCATCAAGGAGTTCAAGAGACACTTTTATCCAAACTAGATGTACCAATGAATCCAAGTTATGCTGAATAACAACAAAAACTACAAACACAAGTATGAGAAGTTTCTTTGCAGCTTCAAACCAATATCCACTGCCAACGTGTTACCAGCAGCCATGCACAAACCAACCACAAAGTGACAGCTCTCCACTAGATGTCAGAGAACCGCTGTACAACATTCTCGCACCAGAGTGAGATTTAGTTCGCTGTTCCGAACTACAAAGGGAGACTAAATCCTCAATAGCCCAAACAAAGCAGTGAGATAAACATGAAGGTCAGATTTTAGCTCCAAACTATGTCTACAAACATTCTCTGGGTGCTTCAAGTGTCAACAGGGCTTGTAGAAAAAGAATTGTGGGATGATTTTCTGTCTCCATTATACACTCAGTTATATGGAAATACCAAATGAATAAACTAATTTAAGAACTGGTTTTTTCCTACACTTTAGAAAAATGACTTTGTGTGTGCATTTCACTGATTTTTACAAGGCAGTCTAAAACTGAATAAACTCCAAAACCTCACTGAAAATTATCAGACTATCATATTTCATAAACTGCAAGTGGACCAGATCTCCATTTTGGTATAATCACAGACATTTTAAGTTTCAGTCACACTTGATTACAATGCAACTTACCACCCTCCCCCCCCCCAAAAATCACCCCAAACCCCAACAAAAATAGAAACCCCTACAGCCAGTGGATTTTACGTTCAGTTCCTCAGTAAAGAACGGTTGTAATCTTTTACCTCCTAATTAGGGTGTGCTAACTTCTGAATGTAATTATCTATTTCCAAGTAAGTAATGTAGATTAAAAATTGGAAGTTAACAAAATTACATACTCTGCCAGCTCATAACGAAACCTCCAGTTCCTGCTGTTATCAGTCACCACAAATTCTTGAAGTTGGTAAAGATACTCTCGCCTTTTGTCTGCATGAAGTAACTAAAGGAAAAACGTTACTAGTATAAAACTGGTAAAATTCAATGCTTGCAGTTCTCTGGTGTATTACTCTGTTCACACCTATGTGCATTTTCCTACTCAATGCTTCCTAAACATTGGGCACAACCAGCTGAACGTCTGAACACACAAGACTGACATCAAAAATAGTACGTTAAGTCATCACTTCTGCAAGGATACCCGTCAAAGCACCATCTCTGGGCATAAGACTGAACAACCAAACTAAGGATTTGCCTTTATTATGCAGCAGCCCACCAGGGCCTGTTCTGTTCTCTCCCAGCCCCAAACACAATTTGCTAATGGTCCAACTTTCCAGCTAGACTGCACAAAATACTAATTCCTTTACAACAGCCAGGAGCATTTGCAACCACATTTACAAAGGGGTTTCAGTTTTGATATTTTGTTGGGATATGAGACAGAAGAGAAGTGATGGACCTTAAAGCAATAGACAGACACAATGGCAATACCGCACAAAACTAAACATATAATTAGATACTGACACCAGCACATCTCATTAACAAATTCAGTACAATAGAGACAGAAAAAATTTTATCTTCAGAAATTAAAATTACACTTTCCTACCTTTAGGAAGTCATACAGATGTTTAAGGACACCAATACGCACTTCATCCAGATCTTTCAAGAATCCATTGAAAATTGGCACCAAATCAGCAGCTGTAAGCTGATCCCCCAGAATAACTGCTAGTTCATGTATGGAGAAAGCTAGAGTTCGACGTACCTTCCACTGCAAAGAGTTTAAGTGAACTAGATTAGGCACCATAACTAAAAGAAGCTTTTGAGCTACACCTACGTGAGGATTGAGACAGCAGAAGAAACAGGGTTAGTTACACAGCAGTAGAAAATGTTAATCATGTTTATGAAGTCTGATTTACATCTTGAATTTTGTATTTTTAGTTCACATGTAATACCTTTTAAGTAACGATGTTACAATTTCCGTGCAACAAACTGAACAGAAAAACTACTCAAAATTCTGATTTATCATTAAAAACTTTTTTTTTTACCTGTACATCTGAGGCCAGCGTCTCATATGTGTCTTTCAGGCAGTGCCAGTTCTGCCTGCCCAGTGTTAAGGCCACCCCAGGAAGACTATACGCACAGTGTTTGGCTATTTCAGTATCAACAGTCTGGGCTCGAGCTGGGTCAGTCATAGACAAGTACTGGTCTAATAAAGGTTGAGGTATGATATCCTATAGATAGAGACAGTACATCAGCAACACACACTAATTTTAAAGATCAGAAAGAAAATACACCTGCTGTGCCTACAGTATTCTGTTGCTACTAACCAGCTGGCAGCAAAACACTAACAGCAGCAAGACAGCCCTTTTGTGGGCTAGCTTTACAAAGTTTAAGTGACCCCATAGTTATTTCTCCTCTCATTAGGACAGAGCAGTCAGCAACAAACAGTAATTATTACTTTATCAACACGTCGCATCAAACCACACTGAAACTTTCTTCTTTGCTGAAGACAAAGAGTAAATCCAGTGACAAAACAATATAGTCAGTGCCTACCTTGGTTGCACAGATCGCCTCTAAGGCGATTTTTCTATCTTTCCGATTTAAAATAGGGTTCTCCTCTAATGCCCAGAGCATTTCTTCACATTCCACAACTGATTAGTTGCAAAAGCTAGCACTGTATTAAGGGTAAGATGAACTGTACTCCACTAAAGCAGTTAGATGCTATTTTAAGTCACCTGTAATTTTGACTTGTCATCTTCAAATGGTGGATTAGTTTCTTGCTCTTTCTTTAAAAATACAGTGGTTCCTCTGTGTTGTTCTTCTGAGTCCTGTAAAAAGATGTGCTAATTAGTGAAATAACTAACTTACTGCTGTTTGGGATATTTCAAAGCATCACACAACAGAACAATGCAACTCAGATACAGAACAGCCTTTTACAAAGCCCTGCACAGACAAAGCCTTATTCAGTGTGTTTATACAAGTACAGAAAGGCAACAGAGTTGTACACTAAGGCAAATACAATTAAGACCATAACAGCAACATGGGGAACAGTAGTTAGATTTACTTCTAAAAAAACAACCAACCTAATTTAACACAATAAACCCAACATTCATACAGATTTTGGATGCTTACTTTTATTATACACTTAAACAGTTTTTATTCTTGTCATGAATTTGAATTATATTAAACAAGACAGCTGAGCAGTTCCTCCAAGTCAGTCATTATTATGATAGAAGCTTTACTTATTTTAGAACATACTGCTGGAAACACCCAAGCCTATCAAAATTATAAAACATACACCTCTCCCCAAATATCAACAAAAAACTCTGAAAGAATTAAAAACTTTAAAAACATCTAAAACATACAAAGTTCAAAAGTTCACACAGTATTTTATGTTTTTGTTTGTACAAGTTTTATGTGCAATTTTTGTTCATAGACAAGGAGTTTTTCTTCATATTTCACAATTCGCTCCAGCAGCATTAAATACTGTGCAAACAATTATTTTTACTCTTATTTGTACATTATAATCAAGAAATAGTAACCAGGAACTGTGTGTGTGTCACCATCTGATTCAGCCTCCTGTCTTGAAATGACAGACTAATTTTAGATTCATTACAGGAAGAGGTAAAACTGTACTTGGTACATTTCATCTGAAAAAAAAAGACTACTGCAGAACTTTAACTCTTAGGTAATTTGTGTGCAAGCAGAAATAATAGCCCTCAATAGCTTTTCTTTTTCTCTTTTTCATTAAAATAAGTAGTATATAATAGTTACAGTGTAGTAACATTCAAAGACTTTAGATCAGAAGTGGGTCAATTATGCCAGGGACTACATGTACACACATAGTACTTCAGCTGGTAAGAATTAATTTCAGACATGGAGCACAACGCATACTTACTGTGCTTTTCAGTATACTTGTGGAAGACTGGTCACTGATGTCATCCTGGGGGGCAGGGGATGAAAGAGTATCTTCCTCCACCTGGTTACAGGTAGCACTTGAAACAGCTGTTTTATCTGAGATAGTTTTGTTCTGAAGTTCACCACTGCTTTCCTCCATCTTTTTGGTCTCGTACTCACCAACAGAATCAAACTGAGCAGCTCTGAGAGCAGCAGATAGCACTTGGACCTGAGCTGTATAAAGCAAAAAAATGACTATTTAGACTACCTTCTGCACTTAAAAGCATTAAACTTGTAATTAGTTTACCTGAAAAGATAAAAAAATGCCCAGTCTGAGCTGCACAGAAATGGTATATTAACAAGACATTTGCTCTTGGAAAGGAAAGGCCCTTTACTCTTCCATAAAACAATCACAAATTAAGAGCAATGATTTGGATGCATTAACATTTTCAGCAGAAGCATTCTACCCATTTCTACTACTGAAAGATATTTCTAATAATCCCCTGTAACAGTGTATCACAGGATACTGGCTCACCTCCTATTCTTCATATTGTCAAACATTTTAATACAAATTCTTTTGTTATATTCTTTAATTGATTCAACTGCTTGGAAAAGGCATCAATGTGCATTTAAAACATTTCCAAGAAAAACTTTATCCAGAGGTGGGAATTAGCCAAACCATTTCTGAACTGTTTTGCAGAAGCAGATAGAAAACAAAAGGTCAGGTTTACCACTGCATCACCAATAAAGTTAGGACAAACTGCATTTGCATGTGATGCTACGTTACTGCAGAAAGTTTGAGATAGCTACATCTGCATAAGCCTACAGCAAGCACAGTCTTAAGATGGAACATTAGAGCATACTTTTCATGTGAACAATACTAGAATACTTTAGAAATAAGGGGAACAGAGAACTTTAAAAGGCAGAAGAATAGATTACAAGCATATTTATGAGAGTTTGTTTTCCTTCCGCTGTAACTGCTAAAATAAACATCCACATCTTATTCTGAGAAAGGAAGCAAGACTGTTCAGCTAAAGTCCTAACAAAAATGGGGTGTGTGTAGAAATCTCCTTCATGGTTTTCTCCCATGCCTCTCCACACCCCTCATTTCTCATTGTACAGCTGTCAAGCTAACATCTCTCCATTTGTCTTAGCTCTACATATTTTTTTTCCTCTTTTCCTTTTACTCTCTGCTTTTTCTTTCTGAAACTCATTTACAGGTTTTTCTCCATTTGTTCAACTCCCACTTTTTCCTTTATTGCTTTCAATTTTAATTTTTTTTCACCTCTTCATCTTTTAAATCTTTCCCTGTCTTTCTGATCTTTTGCCTCACACCTGAAGAAATTTTATTTTCCCGGTACCTTCCAAATGGCCACAGGGAGCCACCTAGTCCTATCACCTTATGAATCCTAAGCCAATTAAAATGTACTCAACAGTTTTGTGAAGGCCAGGAGAAAACCTGCTCAGAGAAAACATGATTTTACTGTTACAGAGTCTTACCTTGAACATCTGGATCATCTATGTGCTCCTGTAAGCTTTCTAGAACTTTTTTTATTTCAGTACTAGCAACACAGTTATTACGTGGCACAGAGCAGCTATCGTTGTGCTTTTCAGTCTTGAACTGAAGCAACTCCAGATCCTGACTTATATCAGGCAGAGGAGGGCGCCAGTATAGAAAAGTATTAAATACATCCTCAGCAGACTGTAGCCTTGAGTTCCTTCCAGGAAAACTGCAGTCCTTAGTGACTTCGATGACACCAGCAGCAACTTTGTCACCCTGAGACAACCGAGACACATCTTCTCCAGGATTGCTACAGTCATCTGAACTTTCTTCCTGTGTGTCTTTATTCAGGTTCTCAACTGAGAGCTTTGTATTAACATCAGCTGAAGTCTCCTCAGTCAATGACTCTGGTTTGATTTCCATTGGTTGTTCTGAACTGGTAACAGACACACATCATTATCCAAGTAAAACTTAAAGTACTCAGTAACAATATGTTTCAGTGAAATACTTCAAAAAGATAGCATCAACTACAGAGGCTTATTTTCTCTGCAGAAAGACAGAATTTATATTATGCTTCACTTCTTTCCCTTTACCTTCCTGCAAAGCCAAAGTGAATTTCTCAATACAGTGGCTACACTCAAATAGATCAAATGTGTGATCTCACTCTTCATACCTTTTCTGGATCTATATTCTCAAGTTGAGATTTTTAGCCCAGAAGAGCAACAAAAAGAATTATCTTCTTTTTTCTCCCTTCTGCTATACCATATCTTTCCCGTGATTTTACCTGGACAAAGTAGCATTGGTACTGGAAGACATTAAAGTTATATTGTTGCTTGGCTGACAGGAATTGGAATTCACATTTTGTGTTGATGGTCGGATACTCAGCGTCCCGTCTTCTCGAATGTAAAGACCAGCACTTGAAGGGTTTGCAAAGGTAGAAATAAACGGGCCAAGAGACTGAAAAGCAGCCTGACGAACCTGTGATAGTATAAAGACAACAATCAGGATTCATGCAACTCCCACAGAGTTAATGCTGAAAAATAAAAATTTGGCTCAATTTTTTAGTAAGAACCAGCTGATTCTTGCTATTACAGCTCCACTCAATACCAAATATAACCAATTATCAATTACCAAATAAGTAACACCAAAGCAAAGGGTGTTAGAATATTAAGTGTGTATCTACAATCATAGTAAGGAAATTATTCAAGTTATAAATTTGAAGGACACCACTGTCTACTTCAACTAATACTTTTAACACAAGCAACCTATTCTAAGGAGAGCGTTTACACATAGAATTGCTGTCAACAACTTTTTAAGTATGTAAGAGAGAGAGGAAAACTAAGACACTATCTTATTAGAGACTAGATTTTAGTAAATTAGATTCTAATCCCAGGAAATTTTACAGAATTTTACAGTACACTCCTGACCTACCCATTATTTGTGTATGATCTGCCTGGAAAGATACATCAATTACAGAGCAAGTTACTTACCCATCTGCAAGTGTCACTGATAAGACTGATAAACAGTGGGGATAGTTTGCTTCTGCGAACTTCTGGGGATGTGGTGTAAGACACTGCCATAAAGCATTCAGCACAAGCTTTTCTCATGCCCCAAACACTATCAGAACAGAGTTCAAAGAACTTGGGAATCTGCCAAAAATAAGCAAAACGAAGACTAATTAAAGACTAAACAAAGACTGCAGCAACTTACTATCAAGGTATTTGTTTGGAAACTGGAGACAATGATAACTCAAGAGAGTAAAATGAGTGAAGTATGTAGAAGAAAGACAAGTTAAAAACATATTAATTGAAGAAATGGGAAAAACTATCTGTCTGCCATTTACTTCAGTAGGATTCTATGTATAACTATATGCACTAGGAAAAGAGAGAAAGAGTTATTAATAGTCCATTTTTACCAAAATTGTAACTTGACTGATCATCTAGTTCGGGGGGGGGGGCAAGCAGAAGTCAGTAACACTAAAGAGAGAGAGAGTGTGTGTATATATACACACATATATTGTCAATTACATCTCAAAAATGTTTTGCCAAACAAGAACTTTCCATTTCTATTCATTCCCAGTTTTGCTATATAATTGCAGCCAAAGCCTTAGCCAAATTAATTAAAAATGCATGCACAGTGATTAATTTACAGAGAAGACAATAAAAGAACTCATTATTAAACCTTTTAAACTGAGAAATACAAGTCTTGTGAATGGATTTTGATTTTTACATACCAGCAGTCTTTCTGTGGCTTCTTGCCCAACTGCACTACAAATGTCACCAAAATTAGCTGCACAAATCTAAGAAATAAAAAAAGACATTAATAACATTCTGGCTCTTTCAAGTACATTAGTTTTATTATCAACTTCACCATGCATTATTTATTCCATGTAACAACTGCACGTTTGACTATTCAAATTTCAGCCATGTAATTACATCCTGTAATATTAACTCATCCCGAACAAAGACTCATGAGAGCAAGCTTCCATAAGCCACATGCCTTTGAAGAAATCAATAGTAATAAAGATTTCTGCATGAAGAGCATCATCTACTTCAGTAATCATTAAAAGGGACTAATAAGCCTACTTGAAAGTTTAAACTACTCTGAACAGCAGCTATCAAAACTGAAGCAGACTCAAATATGATACTAGGTCAGGACTTAGGTGTACTGACAGAATTATCTTTGCTATGGCTGACACTGGCTTAAATACTTTGCTGAAGCAAAGTTTAATCGAGATCTCAAGTTAGTGCCATTTATAGTACATTACAAATGCTATAATTAAGGCAAAGGGATGCACCCTCATGTTGGAAAAATAGGACTGTGTTAAGATAAGATTTATTCATTCTATATGCTTATTTAGAAGGCTATCATGCAGTTCAAATTCCAACAAGTGCAGCTTACGTTAAGGGCCAAGCTGAAGCTCTGCATGACTCAGACTACTCAAAAATTTTAAGACTTCTTATCCTACAAGTTTCCTTCTGTACTCGAACATGAATTAACATAATTCTTTTAGGATTTCTCCTTTCAATAAAAAAAATATTAAAAAATCTGGTGGTAAAAGAAGGATGTCTCAAACATCTATCGCTTTTGAATTTCTTGTTTTGAAATAAGATGGCAGAGATGAGGTAACTTGTTTGCGTGCTATAACCAAGCATGGTGACTTAAAAAAGGTTGTGAAAGCTATTAAAAGTGCAAGATCAGTTTAGCTGCTACACCAAAGCTATTCGCTAAGGACTTATCTATTTCATTACTGAACTACAGAAATTATAACCATGTCAAAAGTTCATCAGCTAAATTTATAACTGAATTATTCAGGAAGGCATTCAAACAACAACATACAAATTCATTTTTAAGTGGTTTAGGGTTAAAAACACACCAACCTTTCGCACTTGAAACAATTTCCCATCACTGCACAATTCACAGAAACGAGGAAGCAGCATGTGCTCAACTGTTGTTCTGCTCAACACAGAAGCCATTTTACAGATTACCTAAAATCAAGAAGTGGAGATATGTAAAGAAAATTATAAAGCTTGTAAGCACAGCCAAATATTCCTTCAAAAAATTGCTTCTGAGAGCAAGAGAGCAATCACCATCAAATAGGTTTAACTGCTACACATTATTCATCTTTCCATAGACCTGTTTTAATGCGAAGCACAACTATAGTTGTTATTTAAAATAATTCTATGCCACTGTGCCTGAACAAAACATTTCTGCACATAATTTGTCTTTTTTCATCAAGTTAAATAGACTTTTATTAATAAGTGCCTTTTCATGGTGTTTTACAATGTGGCATACACTGGTATTTTGTACAGAGAAGACAAAAGTTCCATTGCACTAACCAGCATACAAAATCACAACCTTTAAGCACATTAGAAATACCTCAAGCTTAAGCACGCAAGTAAGCCCCTTGGCTTTAACAGGACTGTTCAGAGACTTAAAAATAAGCACAGTCCCAGCTCTCAGACAGCATGATAAAATAGAAGTTTTCCATACAACAGAAGAGAAAAGGGAGAGTATGTGATCTAATGCACACTTTACATGAAACATCCTCAGAAATTTTAGGAGTCAACATCACAGCATAAAGTCAGTAACACTCAATTTAGCTTTCTCTGAGGAACTGTCAATTTCAACCACCATTACAAGCCACATTTCTGCTGTGAAAATCAGGTGCTTGGATCATATGTTTCCTTTCAGCTCCTTATAATTTTTATATTTGCAACAGTAAAAAGGAAGGGGCTTCCATGCACCTTTCTACTCAACTGTTTGCCTGCATCATCAGGAGTTTAATGCTTACACAAGTATTGTCAGATTGACTACTCATCTTGCTATTTTTATTTTTCAAAAATTAAAAAATCAAAAATTCAAAGCTTTCTACCTCCACAAAAATAAGCTTTATTTGTAGAAGTGTTTGCCTTCATAACAGAATGCTAAGTAAGAACTAAGGAAGACACCATTCAAGGCCTTTCCTGCAATTTTCAAACTCCTAAAAGGCATCTGGTGCTCAGATGTCACCCCTGGAAAACTGCCTAAGCAATACGCAACTCCCAAACAAGGAAGAGGAAAATCTAGCTGGTAAAACTATTTTACAGGTCAAGTGTCAGATATCTATGCGGAAATGTAATTACACACCAGCACTTTTCTGTGGAGTCAACTGACTTCTTGAAAGCGAGCAGGGAATGTTTTTTCAAATCACTTAAGAATTAAGATCAGGTCATCATTCACACTTTTACAGCATTATTTTGAAACCTGGTAGAGCAAATGTAAGGAAACTGTTGCAGAAGATAATGATCTTAAGAATTAAAAAAGGCTGCCAAGAACCAACTGCATTTTAAAGTTATTTGGCTACCATTTGACAATCATTTAGCATCCTGTTCCCAATTACTGTACTGCATAGCTCAATTCTCAAGAAACACTATTTCAAAAAAATTCCTCAAGCACTTCACTGATGCAGAAGCACACATTTCTTCATCACACAAAAGGTACAGGAGCTAGAGAAAGCTTACCTAAAGTACCTCTACACTTAGCCAAAGGCATTAATAATTAGCACTCAATACAACAGTACTCAGGATAACCTTGCTTTCTTCTTGAATTCAGTTAGGATCATTTTTACCCTCTCACTATGGTGCGTCAAGTCCTAACCTTGTTCAAATGCTTTGAGAATTCACATTGTTTCAATGGTGCTCAACACTACAAATGACTAAGAAACCTATTGATTCAAGGCTTAACAGCTTAGCAGACTTAAGCTTCAACTGTATCACAAAAGCAGGTTCTCAATTCACAACAGAGTGACTAACAAATAGAGAAGGAATAAAAAACCTGAAACAGTGATGTCACAGAAAGTTTAAGTTCAATGATAAGGGTAAAACTCTCAGGACATTAAGAATGCAAGTACAATTTTTATTTTCTGGGGTTTATGCTCATGAAAATCTCACACAAAGTTGTTACATTCTAAAAGAGCTTTACAGTAGCACTGCTAAAACAGAGAACAAAAGCAATTAAGAAAGAAAAAAGAGCGAAGATGTAAGTTTTCTTCTAAGTTCACTTACATTCACAGCTTCCACCTTGTACTCATCATCACTGTCAGGAGCAGAAAGGTCCAACAGAATTGGACACACCTTATTTTCAATGTCACTCTGAGCAACAAGATCTTGTTCTAGCAGTATAAGTAGTGCTTCTTGACCTGCTTTTCTAACCTATTAAAATGAACAAACAAACCAAAAAAGTACGTCACTATAAAACCACCATTTGCTGATATGAAAACCACAAAAGGCATATTTTCAATGAACACACAGGTACAAGTTACAAAAGACACACAAAAATCCTCTCAGTTTTAACATCATAAGGAATTAGTAATAAATACTAAAGTTGAACATAATCGTTAGATGAATTTCATTGAATTCTGAGCAGAAGCCAAAAGATGAAGTAGAAGACAGGACTTAAGTCATGAGTCCTATAACAGACTGTGTTAATATGCTGCTAGGCAAATCCTATAAGTTTCCCTTATCTGCTAACGAAAGTAGAACAAAAAAAATTCAGGCCTCCCTAGCAAAGTGCGCTGAACCCAATAAACACAAAGCACTACATAAAATCTAGATATCAATCAAAATGGAATTTCTTATTATCTATTCCTTATGCCCTAAAATCACTGAGCCACACAGGTTTCCAACAATTCAACTTATGTCTGGTTTTCCTACCTGATTGTTAACATCTGTGAGGTACCTCACTACTATGGGCATAAGGTACTCAAAAAATGCTGTTGGGAATTTTGGTCGACTTTCTTGGAGAAAAATGGCAATAGGAGGTATTTGTTCCATCAGCTCTGTACGTACAGTTGGTTCTAATAACAAGAAGAAAGTCAAAACTACATCAGTAAATACAAAATTAAGATCAAGTACCTTAAGAAAAAAGTAGCATTTTTTGTTTAATGTTTTCACAAGAGGGAAATGAAAATACTCAAAACAAAGAAACATCAACACAGAAACTACCTGGTCTTAAAGGAGAGCTGAATGTAACAGAATAGCCTTACATACATCATCACCACAATCCAGAGACATGGGATCAGTTCTCAAATAAATCAGATAAAATAAGAGTACCAGCTAGAAAACCCAATCACCATGAATATATGCACATGAAGTATTAAAATGCACAACTGTTCTGTGCCACATATATCACACATTCAGGTGTAATGATTTTCTTGATTAAATATTACTTTGGGCCCTATATTAAGGGTCTTTCATTTATATATCTATCATACAAACTACTTCAAAAACAGGGAAAAAATAATCTCATTTTCAATAACAGATGTTGCTGTTAGAGGATGTAATTTCTTTAGTTTACTCATTGCCTTCTCAAAATTGAAAGTTATTGTCTACTGTACTGCAGCTTATGTAAAATAAGTTACAAAAATTAAAAAACAAACTAACAAAACCCCCAAAACTTTCAAACCTGCATCTTCAGAGAGCCTGACCACTATTTCCATTACAGTCAGGAAGTCTTCTTCATTATTACTGAAATCTCGAAATACATCCAAAAGACCTCTGGCAATAATTTGTCTGTGGAGTGAACAGCATATAAATTGCCTTAGTATCTTGCCAACAGCATGTAGATAGGATACAAGGGGAACTTATCAAATTTAAATGCACATCTTAAAGATCTAACTCTTCTCTGAACATTCAGGCACAACGGTTTATACAGTTTCTTTATGCCCCAACAAAACAAAGATGGAGTTGAGAAATCTTATTCAGATAACCAAGAATGCAAACCTGTTTTTATGGAAAAGTTATTCAAACAGAAATAATATTAGACTTGTGCTTAGGAGAATAACAACAGAAGCAGTGACACCTTAACATCCACAACACTATCAGACTCAGTTGTCATCAACTGTAGCTGTTGTACTCTTACCTGTTAAATATATTATCACTGAAGGCATATTTTTCTAGACGAGCCAGTGGAGTTAAGTTATCCTGTCCAGGAATATCCAAGAATGCTGTTATCCTCATGCTATCACAGTCTGGTCCATAATCTTCAAACCCAACTTGAAAGACAAGAGTAACACCCACCCCCCCAAAAAAAAAATTAAAAAAGAAATCCAAGAGTCACAAGATGTTACAGTGTAAAATACACTATACCAATAACTATTTCTTTTTAGAGCTATTCTTCAAAGGAAAAGTATCTGCACATCATTGGAAACAGCTTACAAAAAAAATCTTAAGCTGTACCTAATGAAGAGCAACACCTGCATATAGACCTGTAAATTCAAGCTTTGAAATTTAATTTATTTCATCATAAAATCTTTGGCTTTTAACACATTTTACTTTGCAATTTGAGTGGACTAACCACATGCACTATGAGTTAAAAGGGCTCAGCTGACAAAATTGCATGCCACAAACTGACCAACACAATTAAAAGGAAAGTAAGTCCTACTAAAAGAAACTGAAATTTTAACAATGACAGAAAATCCCAAACTGTATTGCTTTAAAACAGCAAATTCTTGGGTCTGTTTCAAAGTTACCAAGGTGCATTTTTCTCACTGTAGTTACTGGGTCCCATACACCTACAACTGGTAGCTTTGGGAAAAACTTAACTTTACTTGTGAACATACTGGGAGCTTTCTACTGCAGACCTATCAACTACACACTTTCCAATGTACATGTACTCTTCTCTAAGTCTGTTTTGTATTTGCAGCTTCAGAGTTTTAACCAGATATTACCATACTGACTGTTAAAATTTGGCTCACCAAGTCTTACAGTAACATGCACTTGATTACAGATTACAGGCAAAAAGTAAGACTGTGAAAAGGAAAAGCAACAGGATAGCTTTGCTGCCAATTTTTTTTAATCCTTCATCCTTAAAACAAAGACAGTGAAATATCATGCCTGCAACACAAATCTTTCACACAAATTCTCTCATTTCAGTAATGGATATAGGAACTCATACAGCAACCAAATCTACAGGAAGAGTTGCACTAGAGTAGCTGATATTCCTGCTCTGGGTTTACAACTTTCCCAACCAAGCAATCCTAGAATTACACACTTTGTTCACATAAATAACATAGCAACTGTGATCATACCAAATTGCACCAATATGGCTTCTCAAACCAACATATGTGCTGAGAGTGACAACCACTGAAGACAACAAGCCAGGTTCTGACTTGGCAGGACACATTATTAGGTATTTAAATCAGTAAAGAAAGCACAAAACTGGTTATAACTGTAAAGCACAATGACAAGCCAAATGAGTTGTATTTGAAACCATGCCTATGAGACTATAGTCTAGGCACTCTAGGTTATGCCTCTACAGGCAGAGACCTCCTGTCTTCAGGCAGTGGAACTTACATGGTGCCTCCATATTAAAAGACAGCAAAGCTTTGGCTGAATAACTAAAAGCAAACCAGGACTAGCTTCATTTATAGCACCAGTTTCCCCTGTTTGTAAAGTGGGAAGAACAGGAATACCCTCTCCCATTGACACCCTTAAAGATTAAGAAATGTGTATGTAAAGTACTATATAATCCCTATCTTCAGTATTCTGGTTTAATAATAATTAAAAAAACAACACCTGCAGCCGTTCCCAATATGTCATCCCAATCACTACAAAGCTTTTGCACATATTAAAGGAAAGTCTGTATTATTTCATAATGTACTCTGAAACTGCCAGTGGATTAAATCATGTGTGTCTAATTCCATGATCTGATATAACAATTTCTTCAGGATTGAAGTGGCTATACCTTAATTAGGATAATTAAGCTCTACCCTCATTTACTTTACACATTTCATATTACAAACACTCTACCCCAAGGAATCCTTTAATCTGAGATCCTGCACAATGAACTTTGGCTCTAAACTACGCTCATACTCATTATAAATTACTTTTTCTATTAAAAAAATCCTCTATTACAGAGATGTACCAAGTTTCAACTTTTTCTTCTACAGAAAAAATCCTATTTCACATACAGGACTCTGCTGCTTTCCAATTATTTAACACATGCCAAAGCATTGTCAGAAATACAGCTCATTTAAAGGAGAAATCATCTGAACATACTTGAAACAAAATGTTATACCTGGGTCTTCAGGGAAAAAAACCAAAAAGCAGATTGGTTTAAGAAAGCACACAGTCTCCTAGGAACCCAGCTGAATTAAAGCACTACAGCAATTCTGATTTCTGCTGTTCTTGCAGACAATATGCTCTGACCAACAAGTTCAACAGGATTCAAACAGAAGAAAACTGCAGGATTAGAATAAATGTTCACATTTCAAATGTATACAGATACTACAAGTAAACCCACAGCTACATGATCAGAAACATATGCTAATTATTCATGGCTTTTTTAGAATGACTATATATTGTACTGACACTCTTATTTCCATTCAACTGGTCATTATTTCTAGAGACTGCTCTTTATGTATTTTTTGAGTTCCGTCAGGTTCAAAACATTTATCTACAAAAGCATATATAATTTACACTGCACAGATGTGTCTGGGTTTGATCTGTCCACATGCTCTAGGGCTAGCTCTCCCACCAAGCATAGTATCTCTAGAGGTAGCATCCAGTATTTGCTGCTTCAAAAGAAGCCTACTGTATGACTTAAAGCTCACAGGAAGTTATACAGCACGTGTAGGATTACAGATTTCCTTTCTGAGGTAGCAGCAAACTCTTCACATACAAATCCAACTCTGACCATCCTCATATCTATGCAATTATAATATATGTATTTTAAAATCCACACAGATCGGACACTTTCACTAGCTAATTTTTGAGGCTAGCCATCTGTTATACAAAGAAAGATTTATTAGGGCTTTAAAACAATAAATATACTTGCCATTAACTTTATCTAGTGGCCACCTGTTCTTGAATTAAGAAATAGTTTTAAAAATGAAGATTCTTATCAGTTGACTTTAAACATTTCAGAATTCCTACCAATTCTAATGACAATGAAGTAAAACAATTCCAAGTTTGACTACAATGCTACACCTGGGATAAAGTTTGTAACCATGATGAACATGCTTAATTTTACTACATGGAGTAGCTCTATTATTCATTTAAATTAGCTAAGCACACACCAGTGCTTCTAGGACCAGAGGGAAAACAGAGCAAACTACTTACGCTCAGGATCAAGAGTGTTAAATACCTGAAATTTTTTCCACACACTCTCAGCACATGTAAGGAATAGTCATGGCAGAATACATTTTGTCTTCTCTCAAGAATTTTAATTTTCTTTTTCCGTAAAATAAGAAGCTACAGGTACTTACAAGTTTCATAACACACCAGAGTACTAGCAAGTAAATTACCAGAAATACTAGTTCATTGTTTTTCTATCTAATGTTCTTTCACAGGTGATTCAAACATTATTTTTTCCTCTAACTTTATCAAACAACTAAGCTTGAAATCTGTCCACCTATAAACAAGTATTCACAGCCGAATTTGAGTTCACCATGCCTTATTCTGACATACACTCAAAAGCTGCTTAGAGCCTGTAAGAAACACCTACAGGAGCGTCACAGGATTTAACTACACAATTCAACATCATTAGCTAGGATCACTATCCACTTTGACACTAGTATTTACTGTTTTGTATTGGCAGAGTACAACAATTTCATGAACTCAGGTAATTTTCTCTCCTGCTGTTTTTAGAAGGAAAACCACTTTGTAAAACACATTTTCTTTATTGTACAAAGGGCATAATTAAGCTAATTTTTTTGCAGATGATCTAATATCTCACCTTACAAAAAACAAGTTTCCCACTGTACTCAATGAATTTGGGTAGATTTTACTACAGCTTTTCCCCAAATTCAAAGGAATCCCTCAGTCTCTCCATTTGTTTCAATGGAATTGATCTCCAATGTGCAGAACACTATTTCACTAATTTAGTTAAGAAAGTAAAAACCTAGTTCCAGTGATTTACTGCACTCAGATTTTCCTAAGATGCACCAAGAACTCTTTGCTAGACTAGTCACCGGATTAGCACAACAGTATCTCAGTCTAGATGGGACATCTGAATTCTGCTGCAACACAAGTAGAAGACAGCTTTCAATGCCATAATTCTAAATGCACTGTGAAATTAACGAATACAATCAAAGTATTTTTATATCATAAAATAAGATTTCAATAATGGTCTAAAAATGCACATTTATTTACATGCTCATCCTGAAACTGATCATTTCTTTCACACACATTTTAAGTGGCCCATATAAAAAGCTTATTATTGCTTATGGCAAAACTTTCCTTATCTGAACATTTTTATTAACTTTATGACTCAAGCTAGAGTTTTGCCCACAAGCAAACTACTTAACTGACTTACCAGATAAATCCGTTACTTAGTCTCAACAGAATAGCCAAAGACTGAACACTAATGGAGAACGAACACCTAACTCCTAGGGACCTCTGGTTCAAGGCCAAGACCCGTAACAGAACACTACAGGAAGTTTGCATTTATTTCCACTACTTGTACTTTACACACTCAGCAAACAGAACTCAAACGAAGCACTAGCTCATTTTTGGTTTTTTTTAACACAGAGAGAAGAAAATTGGAAAGGGAACCAGGAGCAACCCAGAAAGAATCAATCAATTCAAATAGCTAAGCATGCATTAGCACTATCAAGGGCTTTGTAGGTTTTTTGGTTGGTTGGTTTTGGTGCTTTTTTTTTTTAAATCAGGGCAGAGAAAGAAAGATATTTTCACCTTTTAAATAAGGTACTACAGCAACAACTGCTGCAGCTTTTCTGCTAGAGGAACTCACTCCAAAACAATCTTTAAATCAGCATAAGTACATTGAAATGTATCAGCTAACATCCTTCTCACTTAAATCCTGTTCAATACATACATGCTTTTCGTTATCTAAAGTGATGACTTCTTACATTTACTTACTGCAGCAAACAATAACCTTTAGTACCTCTTTTTAAGCAATTCCTTATAGTGTTATCCAAGTTTTAAATCCCTATATAAAATATGGATATTTCATGTAACTATTCCACATACTTACTACATTATTTTTAGATTTCTAGCTTTTCAAATAGATAACTGCAATAAGGAAGCAGGATGCTTCTTAATTACAGTTTTAAATTCATTAAGACTCAGAGTTACAAGTTATCTCTATAAGAGAAACATTAAAGACATTTTGCTATACACAAAGATATAGACATAAACCAAAAACTCTTACAATACACGATCTCACCATTTATGCATCAGTTATATCACAAAAGATCCCAAACTTTTCTTTCTAAAACTTAACCAAAATATAAACACCACATAGGTTTTTTTCTGCTACCTACTAGTGAAATGCAGAAATCTCAAAGACTGAGAGCAAACACACCTAAGAGCAGGAAGTAACAGAATCCCACACAACAACCTCCCGCCTGCCCACAGAGGTGATGCACCTGCATATCGTTCCAACAGAATACTTTAGACCTCACTTGTATTCTACTATTTCCCCTGGTGTTCCTGAAGACCACCTTCTTCCTAAATTAGCTTATTGATGCTACATGGGGGGATGACACATCTATTACACATTTTCAAGTACAATTAAACAATAATGGTTTTGTGGCAAACAAATAAGAGTCTCTCACAAGAAACAAAAACTCAAGCAGCAGTTTTTTTTTTAAATAGAAAAATCAATCCAGCATCCAAAGCACTAAGGAAACCATCCCACATATCCAGCTGCTTTCTAAAGCAATACAAGTTCATATAATTATTAGTCAAAGATTTATCCCTTTAAGTAACACCTCTTTCCAAGCTGTCCGATAGGTGTTCCGCTCCACTCCTGTAACACAACTCTGGACTACACAGGCTTGAGGTGGAGCTGTTACCTGGTGTGGGACCCCCGACATAGCATTTAACCTAAACCCACTGGCTTAAATGCCAACTGGAGTACAACAGCGGATTTTCTTTTATTCCCGGTTCCGAGGTGCACACGCAGCCACCGCAGCACCGTCCTGCTGAGCACCTGTGCCGCAGGGATGCCGGAACAGCGAAACACACGGCGTTCTTACCAGGCTCTACAGTGTTTAAAAGTCTCCCCCGTTTGAGCGGCCGCAGCTAGAAAATCCCTCAGCTGCTCTAGGCTCATTTCCACCGACAACAACAGCGGAGCTAATCCCCTCAACCACCGCCGGCCGGACCCGTTTTCTTTTCCTAGGGATTGACCGCGGGCCATTGTTAGAAGAGCTGTTTACACTGAATCCAGCAGTTCAGCAGCCATTTGAAGCTGCAAGGATGGTCCCTCGGAAGGCCGGTTTGCAGACACCGCCCCGGGCCTGCCTCCCGCCCGCGGGTCCTCCTTCCCCGGCGGGACGGCGGCTGCCCCCCCAAACCCCACTTCAAGAAGCGGGGAAAACCCCAGTGAAGTAAATCACTGGTCCTTCGACGGCTCGACCAGCACGTAAAAGCTTATGAAAGATGCCAGGTGAGGCGAGGGCCCGCAACTGAGGGAGGGAGCGAACCCCCTTCCCCTGTCAGCGCCACGCTCCTGAGGGCACTTAACTCGTGAGCCCTAACACTCTGCAAGGCTTTACCTACCAGTGCAACCAACCTCAAAATCCTCCCTTCGCCCTAACCCGGATAAAAACGCGGAGAGTGAAAGAGGGCGACAGAAGGACCCCAGGGGGGGAGAGCGGGGGACGGCCTAAATAGGGAACAGAAAAATAAAAACCAGTTACTCACAATCATCTAAGTCATCCTGCAAATCCACAAAATACAAAGGGATCCCTACAAACAAAAACAGAAGAGAGATACCGGGGGGTTGGTTTCAGAGGGATACG